ATTTATGCAAGATATTACAAAAGTAAATTTAAGTCTTACACATTCATGGTATTGGTGTAAGTATTTGTTAATTTAAATGAACAGTTGTATCTCTCCTGTTGACATATTGCATTATTCAATACAAATAGATATATACAGTGCAGGTGGTTGTATCGTGGCATTGTTTACCGAGTTAAAATATTTAACTGTCTGAGAGTGGTGTCATGTTTCATCAAAACATTAAATAATCTGCTTAAATAAATAAATTTTGTGTATATAGAAGACCAGAATTTTGTCACTTATTGGCTTATGTTTGGTTAAAATTTATTCCAAATAAAGTACAGTTGTAACGTAGTGATAAAATTATCGGCAAAGAGAGTACTGCTTCTCTAACCATCTTGAGATGTCATTTCATATAAATGTAATGATTTGTTTCTTGTGGTTTGCAGGCCTCTACACTGCGCTATTATCTATGACATGAAAGATCTCATAAAACAGATGGTCACTGTATTGGGCAAGGGACAGCACAGACCAATAATCAATTATCCCAACTTAAAGGATGAGGTATGCATTCCCTTACCCCAGGGAGAATAGTTTCTGAATCACAAATATTGTCACTGTTATAAGTATATAGATAACATATTGAAAATTATTTCACATGACAGTTCAAAACAAATGGCATTTATTTGAAATGAATGATTCTTTGTGATAAACACTATATCATGGTGGTATATAGGAACATGGAGGTAAAGTTGGATGCATTCTTAACCTCACAGTATTTGGAGGTAGGTTTCATGTGCCAGCTACTTCCTGAGGAACAGCTGCCAGTGCTCGTTGAATCGAATATTAGCATACGTAGATATACATCAGACCTGGTTTGGATGAGATATATTTATTTTTGCTACTAATGGACATAGGAATCTGACTGCCCAGATCATACTCAGTAACTTTAAAAAGCACATGGTAAAAAAGAAAAAATATTCAGAGATTTTCATTTGAGAAACAAACACAAAGATGAGATTTCAGGTTATCATGGTAGTGAGTATGAAGATGACTGTCTTCTGGGATGTGCTATGTAGTCTCGTGGTAGTATACCAATGTTTCAGAGGTACTTGCTGCCTCCGTGATTAGGGTGACGAGGCAGCCACTCATCACAGTGATGAAGGCAGCAGGCAAACTCCTACAGGACTATATTGTGCAACAACATGTAAGATGGTCATCTTCAGACACACAGATTTTGGTGGGGAAGGGAAACCTTGCAAGGAGCCATTAGAAGTCAAGATTTAGGAATGAAGACACTGTTGAAGTTCAACTTTAAAAAATTATGTTTGTGTCACTGAAATGTATATTGTTTCTTCCACCAGACACCCCTTCATCTGGCAGTGATCCAAAACCAGCCAAAAACAGTGAAGACATTGCTTACTATAGGAGCAAATCCAAATAATGTTAATAGGCAGGGAGATTCGCCCTTGCACTTGGCTGTTTCAGTTTCTCATAATGACTGCATATCAGAACTACTCAATAGTTCTAACTACGTGCGGTACAGCGACAACCCTGACT